GTTGTCACTTCGAGGGGTAAAAAGTATAACTATTGCACTGTGTTGTACAGCTGAAACTAATTCTAAAAAATGTGTATTTCACAATTAAAAAAAAAAGACAGACAATAACAAGTATAGACAAGGATGTGGAGAAATTGGAATCCTCATACATCACTGTGAGAAGGTAAAATGGTGCAGCCACTTTGGAATACAGTTTGGCAGTTCTTCAAAATGTTAAATGTTGACTCAGCAATTCCACCACTAGGTGAAATTTTCAAGAGAAATAAATATATACATACACATAAAAACATATACACACATTTATAGTAACATTATAATAGCCCAAAAGTGGTAATAACTCAGCTAATGAATAGATAAATAAAATGTGGCCTGTGCATACAATGGTATATTATTTGGCAATAAAATAAAAAAGGTATTATTAATACATGACACAATGTAGATGAGCCTAAATACATTATGCTAAGTGAAAGAAGCCAGTCACAAAAGACCATATATTGAATGGTACCATTCATATATAATTTCCAAAATAGCCAAATCTGTAGAGATTAGAGGTTGCTGAAGGCTGGAGGTGGTGGGAGGAGAATGGCGAGTGACTCACAACGGATGGAGGTTTTGGGTGACAAAAGTGTTCTAAAATTAGATTATAGTGATAGTTGCATGACTGTATAAATATACTAAAAACCCATTGTGCTGTACACTTGGGTGAGTTGTATATATGTAAATTATATCTCAGAGGTGGTGATAATAAAAAAAAGAAGAAAGATTCAGTGCAAATTTTGCCTAAGGTTTATCATGATTGTAGAAACCAAGGAAACAGGAAAGGAAGAGAATTTGGATTGTTGGAATAGTTAAAAAGAAAAACTGAATTTAGCACTTCTAGACTAGGTAATTAAGACTTCATCAGAAAGTAATCAAAGGCCTTGTTGAAATTCCCTCTGGCTTTAGAAAATATTTCTAAGGAAAATTATTTGGTCTTACCCTGCAAGTATCGAAAATTCCATCTTCATCACCTGCACAAAATGAAGTTTCAGGAATTATATCACCATAACTCGTCTCAGAATTACAAATTTTTTGAGAAATATAATGTACTTCCGCTTCCTGTAACATGCTGGTAAGATTACCTATTAACAACAACAAAATACCAAAAAATTATTTTGGAGAGTAGGCATTTTGACAGTGATGTACAATGTTCATGTTGAATAAGTTTTCTTTCAAAAGTGACTGATTCAACAATTATGTAAAATTGTCATACCTTTTATCTCTCCATAAACATTCCTTATTTTGTCATTGTTATCACATTTTCCTTTAATTCTTTGAGCACTAGTTTTTTTTTAACTTATTGAGCATATTTAAAGAGCTTCTTTGAAGTTTTTGTCTGTTAAATTCAACATCTGAGCCTATTCAGAGACAATTTTTAGTGACTACTTTTTTCCGAGTATATTGTTGAAAACTGGATGCTTTAAATAATACGAGGTGTGACAATTAAGTTCCCGAACTTGTTGCAACAGTGTTGCTAACCTTTTTTGATATCAGAGGGATTACTCATTATGAATTTGTACCAACTGGACAAACAGTTAACTAGGTTTACTATTTGGAAGTGCTGAAAAGCCTGCGTGAGAAAGTTAGACGACCTGAACTTTTCGCCAACAATTCCTTGCTCTTGCATCACGACAATGCACCAGCTCACATGGCACTTTCTGTGAGGGAGTTTTTAGCCAGTAAACAAATAACTGTATTGGAACACCCTCCCTACTCACCTGATCTGGCCCCCAATGACTCCTTTCTTTATCCAAAGATAAATATTGAAAGGAAGACATTTTGATGACACTCAGGACATCAAGGGTAATATGATGAGAGCTCTGATGGCCATTCCAGAAAAAGAGTTCCAAAATTGCTTTAAAGGGTGGACTAGGTGCTGGTGTCAGTGCATAGCTTCCCAGGGGAGTGCTTCGAAGGTGACCATAGTGATATTCAGCAATGAGGTATGTAGCACTTTCTCTAGGATGAGTTTGCAAACTTAATTGTCCGACTTTCGTATATTGCAACAACTCTGGATTCCTCAACAATGTTGTTGTCATTTTAAAAGTAATTTGCCTGGACTTAAATTGTGGAATCCATCTCCCCACGTTGTGTGACTGTTGTTGTCTCTGCTGACTTTTCTAAATTTGATTTTTACCTTTTAGCCTGGCTTCATAGGCTTGCCCATGTGTATGCATAGGTTAGTGGTCAATCAGAGATTTGGGCTTTCATCCTCGGCTGATGGATCTGTTGTGTGGGTTGGGGAGTGCAATTCAGTCAGTTTTCAGCTCTGCCTTGGCTTTCACTCTATGCTGAGCTCTCTCAGATTTTCCCCACACATGTACAGTTTCCCAGTAAGCCAAGGGTGTTTGGAGAGTTTATCTAGCCATTCTATATAGCCATCTCTCATGCTTAGGATCTTCCTGTCAAATTTCTGACTGTCCCACTGCTGGCTGCATCTAGGACCACAATCCCAGGCTAGCAGAGCTATGGGTTTTCCCCATTTGTCTCTTGTCCTCTCTTGCTGAGTCCACTATTTTTATTGACAACGCTCTTGGCCTGGATTTTCAACTGCTGTTCCCAATCTAGTCGTCCTCTGGCAGCAAGATCCTTGTCCTTCACGGCCCTGGTAAAACTATTGCACTGACTGATCTGAAGAGAGTTGGAAAGCAGCCACAAGCAAAAAAGGTACACAATTCTTCTTTTTATCCAAATTTCTAGCTGTTTAAAATGAACAAATACTTGTGGTGTACTTTGGTTGATTTCCAGGGCCCTGAAATGGTTGCTTCTGACAATTTTGTAGTTTAGGCTTATTTGGGGGATGAAGATTTGCCAGCCTCCTCTTGCCACTACAGCCACAATTCCCGTCCTTCTTATTGTTTCTAAATTAATTGTACTCAGGGTATATAATAGTATGCACACTCCCTAGTCTTTGAATTTTGAGATTTGCTTTATGGTCTCGTATTGATTTGCTTTATGGCCTAGAATTTTGAGATTTACTTTATGGTCAGTTTTGATAAGGGTTCCATCTGTACTTGAAAAGATGAAATTCTTTGGTTTTGGGGTTATAGAATTCTCTGATTTGGCTCTTAAATCAAGCTTACTATTTATATGCAAATATTCTAAATCGTTATTAATTTTTCATCTGCTTGATATGCCAATAATAAAAAGAATCATGTTAAAATGTTCTATCATAGGGGAGTTATTTATTTATTATTTTTTAAAGATTTTTATTGGGGAATTGGGGGATGGGAACAGCGCTGGGGAATTGGGGGAAGGGGAACAGACAAGTTGCTGTCCTTTTTTGTTCTTCAGTCTAGTTGTGGAGGACGTTGCTTCACTAGCCCAAGTTGGCACCATCATTGCGCTCCTCCCGGGCAAGGCAAGGCAGATCAGTCGCCGACTTCTGGATGGCCACTCATGGCTGCTGCTGGCTGCTCACACTGGCTGCCGGCTACACATGGTAGCCCATGGCAACCCATGCAGCAGGGGCTGCAGCCTACGCCGTCGCCGGCGACTCATGGCAGCCCAGCTTCAGGTTGAGCTGTTGTTCAGCATCTTAGATGTAGAGGGCAGTGTCACTGGCCCTCTTAGGTGGGATCCGAACCGGGGCCCTCTGGCATCCCAAGCCAGTTCTTAACCAATGTGCCACTTGGCTGGCCTTCATAGGGGAGTTATAATGTTTGCTGTACAATTCTACTTGTTTTACCTTAATATTGTCTTGGTCCTATTTATTAGGCTCACAAGTCTAGAATTGTTCTATCTTCCTGATGAGTTGAACCTTTTCTAAATATATAATGACCTTATTCATCCTTAATAATTCTTTTATCTTACAGTCTATTTTGTCTGATATTTGTGTAATGATACCAGCTTTCTTTTCATTATAATTTACTTGATGTATTTCTTTCCTATTGTTTTACTTCAATCCTTCCCTATCCTTATATTTTAGGTACCTGTTGCTAAACTAAGCTGGATTTCTTGCTCCTTGATCCAATTATCTTTCTCTCTCTCTTTTCTTCTTCTTCTTTTTTTTACAGCTTTATTTTTGTGTATAGATTTGCTTAAAAATCACTGAGTTTCTAGGCTGGGTTCAGGCAACTGAAGAGTCTTTATAGATAGTTTATATTGTCTAGAACCAAGGTATGCTGCAAACCCAGTCTGGAGCAAAATGTGAAATAACGTTTTCCTCAAGAGAGGCTTAGAAACTCTGATCTAGTAGGTTAAGATGTTTCCTTTCTCTGGTAGCTGGGCCAAGGCATACCTGGCTGCTAGACCACCATTCACAGGTATAGCCAAGAAAACAGGGTACAGACCACTGAAAAAAAGACCAACTAATCCACCCCATGTTATGGTACAGGTTTCACAATTCAAATCACCTGTATTCAATGGTAAACTTAGAAAACCTTTGTAAGATACGTTTGCTGTAAAAAATGGGATCACTGCCATTGGTAAGCCTACAGCGATACGAGCCTGTGTCACATTTAAGACGCACTGAAAAAGACTGTTTGCTACTAAGCCACAGAGAGCATAAGTCCAATATGTGTTGATCCATGTTCAAGTAGATCTCTTTTTACTTCTGGAAGTTGGTTAATTTTTCTGGTTATGATATCAATAATTTGGTTTTTGGGACCGGCCGAGTGGCTTGTTGGTTAAGAGTTAGCTTGGGAGCACAATCTCTGAGCAGCAGGGCCGCCGGTTTGGATCCCACATGGGCCAGTGACGCTGCGCCCTCTACAGCTAAGATGGTGAATAACAGCTCGACCTGGAGCTGGGCTGCCGTGAGTCACCAGTGATGCCATAGGCTGCAGTGGGGCTGCAGTGGGCTGCCGTAAGCTACCATGAGTGGCCAGCAGCCAGTGTGAGCTGCCAAGAGCTGCTGTGAGCGGCCATCCAGTGGCCGGCAACCTATCTGCCTCAGCCCAGAAGAGCACAATGATCACAATACCAACATGAGCCAGTGAAGCGATGTTTTCCACAACTAGACTGAAGAACAAAAGGACAGCAACTTGTCTGTTCCCCTTTCCTGATTCCCCAACACTGTTCCCTCCCCCAATTCCCCAATAAAATCTTAAAAAAAAAAATTTGGTTTTCATGATTTTGCATCTCAAGCCTTCTGCTCCCTTCCCAGCAGTCGGTGCCTCCTCTGGTCTTCCTCAGCCACTAAAGGCTCACTGCATCCTTTGCACAACTCGCCATTTTTGGCTGACATCCAATTATATGTCTTTTAACTAGTGATTTGGTCCATTAACATTTATTGTGATTATGGGTATATGTGGGCTTGTTTCTACTGTCTTGTACTTTCTATTTTTCTAACTTTTTCTATGCTTTTTATTTCTCCTTTCTTGATTTCTTTTTTTTTTTTTTAAAGATTTTTATTGGGGAATTGGGGGATGGGAACAGACAAGTTGCTGTCCTTTTGTTCAGTCTAGTTGTGGAGGACGTTGCTTCACTGGCCCAAGTTGGCACCATCATTGTACTCTTCCTGGGCGAGGCAGATCATTCGCCGGCTCTGGACAGCCACTCACTGCGGCTGCTGGCCGCTCACGCTGGCTGCTGGCTACACACAGTAGCCCATGGCAACCCATTGTAGCAGGGGTTGCAGCCTACGCCATCGCCGGCGACTCACGGCAGCCCAGCTACAAGTTGAGCTGTTGTTCAGCATCTTAGCTGTAGTTGGCAGTGTCATTGGCAATCATACGTGGGATCCGAACTGGGACCCTCTGGCGTCCCAAGCCAGCTCTTAACCAATGCGCCACTCAGCCGGCCCAAGTTGCTATCCTTTTGTTCTTCAGTCTAGTTGTGGAGGACGTTGCTTCACTGGCCCAAGTTGGCACCATCATTGTACTCTTCCTGGGCGAGGCAGATCATTCGCCGGCTCTGGACAGCCACTCACTGCGGCTGCTGGCCGCTCACGCTGGCTGCTGGCTACACACGGTAGCCCATGGCAACCACACTGCAGCAGGGGCTGCAGCCTATGCTGTCGCCTGCGACTCACGGCAGCCCAGCTCCAGGTTGAGCTGTTGTTCAGCATCTTAGCTGTGGAGGGCAGTGTCACTGGCCCTCATATGTGGGATCCGAACTGGGGCCCTCTGGCGTCCCAAGCCAGCTCCCAACCAACGTGCCACTCGGCTGGCCCTGTCTTTATTTTCTTATTCCATTTGTTTCTATTGGTTTACAAATTATATCCTCTATTTCTATTACTGAAATTTGACCATTCATGCTTAAAGTTAATGTTAACCAGTATCTTAATATTTCTCCTCAATAATACAGGAACTGGGACCACTTTAAATGTGATCACCCATTCTGAAATACATGATTTCTCCCCCAGTATTTAAATGTCTTTTTAAAAAAAATTCTATAAATGGCACATTTTTATTGTATTCCAAGGTTTCTTTCTTTTTTTTTTTTTTTTAGCTGAGCCATCCTGCCACCTGTTGGCAGTTCAGCTCGGGAATCGAACCAGTGACCCTGTCGCTCAGTGCTTGCACTCTTGAGTGAGCTCTTAATCAACTGAGCCACTCGGCTGGCCCCCCAAGGTTTCTTAATCTTGGCACTATTGACATTTTGGGTCAGATAATTCTTCGTTGTGGAGATAGGATGACTGTTCTATGCACTGAAGGATAATAAGCAGCATCCCTGGCTTCTACCCGTTAAAATGCCAGTAGTGTACTTGCCCCTGTCCAATAGTAACCAGGTTTTCTTCAGACATTACCAAATGTTCCCTGGGGGCAAAACTGTCCCCAGTTTAGAAACCATTGTTGTATACACACAATGTTTATTTATATTTACCTATATATTTACCTATTTCTTTGCTCACTTCTTGCAGCTCATATCCCCCTTTTGACATCATTTTATTTCTTTCTGGTATATTATTTCCTTTGGTGAAAAATCATTGGTAGTAAATTCAGCTTTTGTTCACTCTTATTCTTGAATGATAGTTTTGTTGGATACACAGTTGTAGGTTCATAGTTATTTTCTCTCAGTACTTTGATCATGATATTTCATTGTATTTTGACTGTCATTATTGCTACTGAGAAATTTTCTAAAAGCCAATATGTAATTATTTTATAAGGTTTGTTGTTTTATCTTTTGTCTCTGGCTGTATTCAGATTTTCTCTTTGTTCTACAACCTCATTACAATGTATAAAAAGGGATTGCATTTTGTTTTGGCTCATATTGTGTTTACTATATCTGGATTTATGTCTTTCATCATTTATAGAAAAATTTCAACCCAAATCCATTGAATATTGCCTCACCTCTATTCTCTTCATTTGTTCTCTCTAGCATTATTAGGTGTATATTTGATTTTCTCATTCTATCCTTCTTATCTTTACTTTCATATTTTCACTTAGCATAATGCCCTTGTGATCCATTATAGTACTTGCATGTATCAATACTTAATTTCTTTTAACTGCTTAAAAGTAGTATTTCATGTTAAGGATATACTACAGTTTGTTTAATCATTTACCTATTGAAGGACAATAGGTTTTTTCCAGTTTGGGGATGTTACAAATAAAAGCATTTATGAACAGGTTTTTGCCTGGACGTATGCTTTCATTTCTCTGGGCTAAATGCCCAGATATGTGATTGCTGGGTCATCCTTATAACCAGTGTTTTGAACTCTGTGTCTGGTAGATTGCTTATCTCCATTTTGTTCTTTTCTGGAGTTGTCCTGTTCTTTCATTTGGGATATGTTTCTTTGTCTTCTCATTCTGGCTGCTTCCCTCTGTTGGTTTCTATGTATTAGGTAGATCTGCTATGTCTCCCAGTCTTGGCAGGGTGGCCTTATATATAGTCTCTGTGGTCCAGTGGTACAGTCTCTGTGGTCACCTGAGCCTTGTGCTCCAGGGGTGTCCCTTGTGTGGGTTGTGCATACTCTCCTGTTATAGTTGAGCCTTGATTGCTGTTGGCACCTCAGTGGGCGGTACTGACCCTCCATCTGACTGGCTGTGTGGATGGCCATGATTACAGTGGACAAGCTGTTGTGCAGGGGCTGATCCCACAGAGCAGGGCTCTGGTGCCTGCCAAGTCCATCCTTCAGGTGTGCTGTTTGTGGAGCTAACTGGGTGGTGCTCTGGTGTGGTCTGAAGCTGGTGACTAGACATGTTGGTTCTGGGGTCTCTTGGGAGGGGCTCTGGTGCAGGCCCAGGTTAGCTGCTGCCTATGCCTGGCCTGGGGCCACCTGGTTGGAGCCGGAAAGTGACCTGTGGTTGGTAGCTGCCTGTGCTGGGATTGGAGGCAACTGGGAGTGGTTATGCTGTGGACCAAGGCCAGCTGTCACTAGTGCTGGGCTTGGGGCCACTTAGCAAGAGGTACAGGGCACACAGGTCAGCCCAAACTGCTTGTTGGAGGACTGTGGACCTTTCAGAGATTTTAGGGAAGTCTGCCACTCAGGCTGAAGCCAGCTGCTTGTGAGGAACAGCCACTGAAAGAAGTTCAGGCCTATGCCCAAAATGTGTCACCTGTACCTGCAGGCTGGGTGGGAGGAGGGCTCAAAAAAGGAACAATGGCTCCTACCAGCACTTTTGTCCTGCTGAGTGCTGTCTCTCCAGCCCTCACTTCAAAGCCAGACAATTCAGTTCTTCCTTGTATGTCCCTGGCACTTTTTGAGCTGCTGCCCCAGTGCTGGGGCTCAGATTGAGTAAGTCTGTCAATGAGTAAGTCCAGGTATGGGCCCTTTAAGAGGATGCTTGGGTCTCCAACAGCCCTCATCTCACCTGGACTGAGTTCCTGCTGATTTTCACAGCCAGCTGTTGTGGGGACTCCTCTTCATGGCACTGGTGGTCTGCGCTGGGAAGCCCATTGTGGGGTGCTTCTCAGAGGGGACCTCTGCAGCTGAGATAGCCCTCCTGATTCTTAACAGCCACACTGTGGATGTTGGAACCTGCCCTGCCCATTCCTTGCCTCCGCCCTTCCTACCAGTCTTGATGTAGCTCTGTCTTTATATCCTTATAGGAGTTCTATTCAGCTAAACTTTAGGTGGTTCTCAAGGGTGGTTGTTTAATAATTTAGTTGTAATTTTGATGTGGTCGTGGGAGTAGGTGAGCATAGTATTTACTTATTCTGCCATTTTGACTGGAAGTTCATTGCAGCTTTCTTTTGATTAATGTTTCCATGGTATATCTTTTCCCATCCTTTTGCTTTCAACTTACCTTTATCATATTTGAGGTGAACTATGTATATGTGCACTTTATGCTAAACCATGAGTCTGACTCATTCTTAGAGTATAGCCCTGGGACTTCAGCTTTGTGGGAGTCTCCCCACACTTGAGCAGGCTTTGTTCTTCAAACCTCTCAAGACCCATAAAACCACAGAAATCAACATTCAGTGTTACTAATTTGGCACAGACCCTCAAGACGAAAGCCATCTTTGGTGCTCCAGTTATCTAAGTTTCTACCTTCATATTCAGTCCTTGACTTATGTATTTTCCCTTTTTAACAATGTTCAGTGGAAAGGGTGGTGTGTGCATGTAATCTACCATACTGGTGGAGAGCTAACTTAATCCTTGAAACAACTCTCTGATAGGTATTGCTCTCATCTTACAGATCATGAAAATGTATGACATTGTGAGATATTACATAAAATAGTGGAAACTCATGACATTTGAGACAAGCTTACAGGGCTTGAATTTTGACATCTCATTTAGCTGTGTAACTTTGGGCAAATTTTTATTATACATTAACCTCTTTAAACCTCAGTTTATTCATGCATGTTATAGGATTTCTTGCAGTATTGTTGGGGATGTTAAATGAGAAATGCATTACAATGCTTAGGATTTTATTAAGTACCTTGTCCTGAATAAATGGTAGTTGCTCCTATCATTGTTCTAATTGTTAAAGATTGAATAGTTGCCAATGGTCACTCAGCTAGTACATGGCAGAACTAAGATTCAGAGTTAGGTCCGTGAGTCTAAAGCCTACACCATGTTGCTTTCCTTGTCTTCCTTAGAAAATATTCACAGGGAAAAAAAGAAAAATAATTCATACATTTATCTTTATCCTGTCTAAATAATACACAAATATTTAAAATGGCTAGGTTCTGTGGGGGACAGGAAAAAAAAAAAGAGTCTCAGCACTTGATCTCATATGTTGCTAACTAGAGTTTCATTCCATCACGAGCAGTTTATACTTAATGCAGTACTTCAATATTCAGGATGTAGAATAAAAAAGACCTAGATTTGAGTCCCAGCTTCTCAGCCACTAAGATCCAGAATACCTGATCTTTTAAATGGTAATAATAATATAAACCCCCTAGTAGGACTATTGGGAGGATAAAATAAAATGTATTTAGAACAGGGCCTGAAACATGGAAAATACTCCCAAATGGTAGCTGCTGTTATTACCAAAGGCAGAGAGTGCTTTCTACATTTTTTTTTATTCCTCCCATGAGTTCAGCCAATCAACAATCCATGCCCCTTTGTGCACTAAAAAAAATACATGGCAATCAAGGTGTTTGATACCAAACAAGGCATTAAATAGAAAGAACCACTAAGTTGATTCCTTACATCCAGAAGCTTATTATTTAAGATAAGCAATTTTGTTACAGAGCTGGCTGTATCACTGATGAGTCTTAGAAATGAGAAGAAACACATCATTCTGTCGGAGAATCTTTAAAGGTTTAAGTATCTTGGCATGTATAACCAGAGAAAGTGTCTATTTCTGCTTTGGAAGATAATTTGCTATCTTCCACAAGGAAGAAAAAAATACAAGAAAAAAAGACATTCCTTTTTCACTGGTACATAAAGACCTATTGTTGAAACTCATGATATAAAGAGACAAATATATAAAAAGGTTCACCGTCTCTAATAATCAGAAAAATTTGTATCATTAAAATTCAGACTATAATTACCTTGTTCTTTTGTTCTTCCCCAGCCACCTATAAAGCACTTTGTGTTTCCATCCAGAGTTTGGAAAACATCAAAAGGTAGACAAATAGGCTGAATATAGTCATTATACTTCACTGCTTTTTTTAAATGAAAAAGTGCAACATCATTTACGTACGATTCCACATTGAACTTTGGATGTATGATGATTGCTTTAACTTTTATAATCTTGGTGTATGGATGACTCCCATGTATATTATTAGTTCCAAGCACAGCTCTCCATATTAAAGGATCACTGAAAGAAAGTAAATGTTCTTATTATAAACATGTTCATTTAACTAAGTAAATATTCTTAATCTCCCACTAGTTTTATTTTTCTTATGTTAGATTAATAACAAAAAAAATTAATCCTACATTCATATGACATAAAGTCACATCAAATAAAAACCTAAATACCATGATGTAGGAAAGGAGAAAAAAATTTGGGGACAGAAAGTCCAAAAGCAGATTCAAGTACATGAAAATTTATATGATTAAGGTAGCACTTCTTACTAGTGGACAGAGCATGAATTATTCAATAAACGGCATTGGGACAACTAGCTAAATAACTAGTCTGAAAAGTGAAATAAAACTAAATCCCCAAAAAACAATAAAATAAACTCAAAATGGATTAAATTTTAAACACACAAATCTTTTAAATAAAACTTCCTATCTTTTAGAGATACATAAAGTGATACATCTGAGATTTGCTTCAAAATAATCGGAGTGGGGAGTTGGTAAGGATAAAGACGAACAAGATCAGGCATGCGTTAATAACTTGAAGTTGGGTGATAGGTATATGCCCTCTATTTGTGTAAATTTTTGAATGAAATATTTGGGTATTAAATTAGCATGAGAATTATAAAAATTAAACCAGAAAGAAAGTATAGATGAATACATAACATTGACATGAGATAGGACTTTATAAAGCATGACACTAAATATAAAAACAAGAAGCAACTAATGGATCTTGACAGCCTTGAAAAAACAAAAAGCAAGCAAAAAAACCAAACAAAAAAAATCTTCTGTAGATAAACCCAAGCATATAATAGTTGTTAATCTGTAATTTGATTGGGAAGGAAGAACTTTTATTTTTTAAATGGTTTTTTACAAATGCTAAAATTTCTTTTCACCCTTCAAATAGGCAAAGTTTATAAGTATGTGCATGCACACGAGTGTGCATGTCTGATGATAATGCTCATTACAGACAAGAGTCATAGGAACAAAGGTATTCTTATTCACTGTGGAAAATAGATGGGTACTTGGGCAGCCTGTATCAATAGCCTGTAAAAGTTGCATTGTATTTGACTCTGCAGTTCTATTTCCTATAATTTATCCCAAGGAAATAGGAGATATTCAGCTCTCTTAAAAGTGGACTAGGCAAACTCTAAAAAGTTTGTGAAAAATTTTTTTAAAGTCCTAGTTCTATTTTGATTAAAAAAAAATCACTGCTTTAAGCTACTTTGAAATAATGATGTTTCTTTTCTTTTCCAAACGTACGCAGTTTATATTACTTATTTACTTCAATGTATATTCAGACAATAAGATTAAAAAACAGGTTGCATACATCAAAAACTACAAAACATTGCTGAAAGAAATTAAAGACAACATAAATAAATGGAAGGATATCTCATATTCATTGACTGGAAGACTTAATATTGCTAAGATGTCAATACTACCCAAAGCAAGCTATTGCAATCCCTATAAAAAATCCCAACGATGTTTTTTAGAAATAGAAAACCCATCCTAAAATTCATATGGAATGTCAAGGGATCCCCAAAGAGCCAAAATAATCTTGAAAACGAATAATAAAGTTGGAGGACACACACTTCCTGATTTCAAAACTTACTGCAAAGCTACAGTAATCTGAGGTGTGGTGCTGGCATAAGGACAGCTGTATACACCAATGGAAAAGAATAGAGAGCCCAGAAATACATCCTTGTATATGTGGTCAATTGATTTTCAACAAGAGTGTCAAGGCAATTCAATCGGGAATGGACAGGCTTGTCAATAAATTGTGCTGGGAAAACTGGATATCTATGTGCAAAAGAATGAAGCTGGGCCCTTACCTTATAACATAAGCAAAAATTAACTCAAAATAGAGAATAACCTAAATATAAGTGTAAAGTGAAGATAATAATATCTATTTCAGAGGGCTACTGGGAGGGCTTTTAAAATACAGAATTATATGTAACACCCTTGGACAGTACCTAATCTCACAGCAGGTCTTTGATAAGTGGTTGTTATAAGAAGGAATACAGAATAATTGATGGTGCAAGGTTTAGGAAATGAAGGGGGACAGGACTAGAAGATGGCAGAATTAGTCCTCAGAGGAGGAAAAGTAGAGATTATGCATCAGTAATGTCTACTTCCTTAGCCCAGTCCTTAGTATATAACATATATTCAGTAAATATCTGTTGAGTAAAGGGTTAAAATCATCAGTAAGATTTAGTCTTGGGGACTGTTAAGTGGAATATGAAAATTATCTTCAAATGCTTGGAAGAGGAATTAGGATTAATATATATGGCTTCAGAAGGCAGAATGAAAACCAAGACACTTCATTTCTACATAAGAAAAAGCTTCCTAAGAATTAAAGCTATCTGAAATTGAAATGAGAGTCTCTCAAGGTAGCAGTTCATCATCACAAGAGATGTTTCAAGTAGAGAGCCATAGATAGAGTTAAGATTATGTGTGTGGGCTTTCATTCTGACAAACCTGGATTTGATCCCTGATTTTGTTGTTTTTCAGCCATGGAATCATGAACAAGTTACTTAAGAATGCTCAAGTCTCAGGGTCTCTGTACAGCAAAGAGTTGTTGAAAAAGATTAGTGGAAATTATGCATGAAAAAAATGCCTGGCTCAATACATTGAAGCAATAATTATTTCAGACTAGAGAACCCTTTACTTCAATATTATAATAAGGATTCATATACAGGACAGAGGATTGAACTAGACATTTAAAATTCCTCCTTGAACTCTTAAGACTCTCTGACAGTATAATAAAGCTGCATCATTTGACCAAGGTCATACATCTGGTAGGTTTTGGGACCTTACTTAAAGCCACTGCAGCACAGTGTCAGGGGAGGACAAGGATACAGGTCTCCCCACTCTGAACTTATTATTCTCCATCAAGCCAAAGGAACAGACCAGGAAAGGCACAATGTTAGGACTTAGTAGGCAAGAAGAGATTTTCCAAGAATTTTCAAACTATGCCGGGCAGGCCTTTCCTCCCACGTTTTAAGATTTGAAAGCTGTAGAAAAGCAGTTTTTAAAGATAGCATGTTAGAAAACAGTTGTAAGACACCCACACCTGAAAGAACAGAATTGATTGCTAACTTTTTTCCTACATCTCTTTCTGCACCCTTGGTTTATACCTTAGTATCGTCCCCTTTTTAAAAAAAATCTCTATTCATCAAAAGGTCAATTTATGGAACTGAAATCCATGTTTTAAAAATATAGTATACATATTAAAACCTACCCAACTGGCCAATTACCCTCAATTGAATTTCAAAGTTGTTAGCTCCTCTTAAAGACTTTTCATTCTGCAAGACAGCTGTTCTCTTAAAAATGAAAGACTAAAGGGAGACTGTATAACAGATACCATGGTTTCCTAAAGGATTTGTCTTCATAGTAAATGTTAGGAGGGTCATAAAGGTCTATTCTAACCATGGTAAATCCCATTTCTCCAAGACTGACATCATCCATAGAGTCAATGAACATTTATTATGTCTTCTATAAAGTAGGCAAAGTCCTATATTAGTACCAGGCATACAAAATAAAATATGTAGTACTTGCCTTCAAATAACTCATGATCTAATGGTGAGAAAGACAAATACATGGTTATAATAACTTTAAACGCTAAAAGAAGAGTTTCATTATCTGAAGCAAAGTTTGATGAGAGCATATGATGTCAGTTTGGTTCAAAATAACTTTTTTTTTTTAAGATTTTTATTGGGGAATTGGGGGATGGGAACAGCGTTGGGGAATTGGGGGAAGGGGAACAGACAAGTTGCTGTCCTTTTGTTCTTCAGTCTAGTTGTGGAGGATGTTGCTTCACTGGCCCAAGTTGGCACCATCATTGTGCTCTTCCTGGGTGAGGCAGATCAGTCTCCGGCTTCTGGACGGCCGCTCACTGCGGCTGCTGGCCACTCACGTTGGCTGCTGGCTACACACGGTAGCCCATGGCAACCCACTGCAGCAGGGGCTGCAGCCTACCCATCACAGGAGACTCATGGCAGCCCAGCTCCAGGTTGAGCTGTTGTTCAGCATCTTAGCTGTAGAGGGCAGTGTCACTGGCCCTCATATGTGGGATCTGAACCAGGGCCCTCTGGTGTCCCAAGCCAGCTCTTAACCAACGCACCACTCGGCCAGCCCTCAAAATAAACTCTTATAATGATTAAAAAAAAATAAAACAAGATCTGACAAACTCCAACCCACAAGTAAAATCTGGCCTGTATAAAAATAGCATTTTTATACAGCTAATGAGCAAAGAATGTTTTTTACACTTGTAAATGGTTGGGGAAAAAGCAAAATAACAATATAATATTTTGTTCAAATTTCAGTGTTCATAAATAAAGCACACTCATTGAATTATGTATTGTCTATGGCCACTTTGGTTCTTCAGTGACAGAGTTGAATATTCGCACCAGAGACCATATGGTCTTCAAAGCCTAAAATACTGTCTTCACAACAAATGTTGACTTCTGATTTAAAGGATTAATGTCTCAGTGTAGTACATATACGGCATTGTGGGTGCTTGCAAACATACAGCTTAACTGAACATGACTGAATTCAGATGGTCCTCTGTCATTTAAAAATATCCCCTAAATGATGGGCCAGCTCGGTGGCACATTGATTAAGAGCTGGCTTGGGACGCCAGCTCTGAGCAGCAGGGCCCCGGTTCGGATCCCACATGAGGGCCAGTGACACTGCCCTCTACAGCTAAGATGGTGAACAACAGCTTGACCTGGAGCTGGGCTGCCTTGAGTTGCCAGTGACAGCGTAGGCTTTAGTGGGGCTGGCCAGCAGCTGGCGTGAGCTTTTATGAGCTGCCTTGAGCTGCCATGAGTGGCCATCCAATGGCCGGCGAGCAACTGCCTCACCCAGGAAGAGCGCAATGAAAATACCAACATGGGCCAGTGAAGCGACATCCTCCACAACTAGACTGAAGAACAAAAAGGACAGCAACTTGTCTCTTCCCCTTCCCCGATTCCCCAACGCTGTTCCCCTCCCCCAACTCCCCAATAAAATCTTAAAAAAAGAAAAAAAAATTCCCTAAGAGAATAAAATAGGAGTTGTGTTCTGAATACATACCTCGAGTCCTTAATGCAGTGGGCAGCTGTGAGGACCCAATTATTTTTCACTAAGCTTCCCCCACATATATGAGCAAGAATTCTGCCATATTGAATCTGCAGGCTAACTATCCAAGGCCATGCACCAATTTGAGCATCCGTGCCCCCTATAATCCGAGACCCTTTGAACACATCCCCAAGCGGTGCTATTCCACAATCTAAAAATAAAAATGATATATTACTTGAACTGAGCATCTAATAATATGTATTAATTCCTAATCTTAACCAATTAAAATCTTCTAAATTCCTATTTTAAAAACAATGCAAGCTATTGTAGATACCTAAAGCATGCCCATATTTTGAGGGGAAAAAAGGTTAAGGTAAACATGCCCTAATTGATTACCTACACATAGAAAGACATTAAATCAACACAGTTCATTACTTTTAAAACTCTATTCCCCAAAAGTATAAAAATGTGATGTTTCTCTGGCCAGGTCTCATGTTCTTCCCCTGTGTGAAATGGCAATTAAAGAGTCTGGAACTGGTGAATCAAGAGCTACAAGTTCTGACACTTGCCATTTAACTTGTTGGGTTAGTTTTTCTCAACTGTAGTATGAAAAGGTCACCTACTAGCCCTTTCAACTCTGAAGTGCAATGAATTATTAATCTGTGAAACGGGAATGACAGATCCCAGGATGTTTTGAGGAGTACATATGGACAACCTACACAGGTTATGGCATATGCACTACTATTACTGCTGCTGCTGCTGCTACTACTATTTCTACCGTTATCAGTATAATTGGACTGCTTAGGTCTGTGAGTTTTCAGTTATAGGCAGTTGGAACAACGGAAAAAGAGAGACTCAAAATCAAACACTACAGAAGTAGGGAAAAGGCAAGGAAGACCGTCCAATGAGGGGAATGAACAGATACTGCCCTCTGCGGCCCACCCTTCCTTTTTCTGGGCCAGGAGCCCCTTCTGCCTCCTGAGCCTCCCATGCATGGCCTCAGGCCGCCCCGGACCACTGGCCTGTTCCTGAGAGGGGCCGCGCCTGCTCCTTTCTGAGACCGAGCAGTGCTCTGCGTATAAGACAAAGCTCCCCACAAACAACACTGCAGCGCTCAGGAACCCCAGCCCCATTTTGGAACTCCCGTTGGGCAAGATGGCGGCAGGCAAAGTAGGGTGGGCGGGGAGGATGACGGAGCACGCAAAGTAGGCGAGGTGCGTGAGGGGGTGGGAGGTGCGTGAGGGGGCGGGAGGTGCGTGAGGGGGCGGGAGGTGCGTGACGGGGCGATTTACCTGGGTGAGTCTAGCCTCCCAGAGCTGTTGTAGTTGGCGGCCACATGCTGGACAGAGGGACGTGGGGTCTCCTGCCCTCAGCCAGGATCTGGGGGTTCGTCAGTTGTCAAGACTTTCCTAGGCCAGATCCACACGCCCATACAGAACAGTCGGACTGTTGTGGTGGGAGGGGAGGTGCTGGAACCAGTGGGGTGCTGCTAGCTCAGACTTTCAGGGCCAGGAAAGCTTCCAGAAGTAAGGCGGGTAAGCTGGGGAAGGGGGTGGTAAAGCAGAAGGCAAATCAAATGTAGAGAGGTTGGGCAGTCCAGACAGTATAGCCACGGGGAGAACCCAATTAGTATAATAGATTAACCTCATTATTAATTGTATAGTAGTTTGCCTTCAGTGTATCTCAGGGTGAGTTCATAAAATCAAATTTAAGGTCCTGCAAAGTTGAGGACAAAGCTTGACTGAAGGTAAGCCCCCCCCCCACCCCCACACACACTTCATTTCCTGAGAGATACATTCTTCCTTGCCCCTATTTGAACCCCCGAGATGCCCTTTTGGCATTCCAAACACCGTGGGGAGAGGGTGCAGATAAATGGCCCCAGTTAATCGATCCATGGAAGAAATAGATACTAACCTCACACTATGTACTACACACTGAAATAAGTTTCACATCACAGGAGGTGTGTTAAGACCTGGCTGGCCCTCTGACCCAGAGAACTTTTATAACTTGGCTAGCAGAGAAAAATCGGTTCTAAATCACTTGGAAAACAAAGAAATAAACCATGACATCCAGGTCTAATACCAGTTCAGACACAAAGGCTTGGTGTGGGCTGTGGCAGTCTGGGAAGGCTCTCTGTAGGAGGGGGGTGTGAGCCGCGCCTAGATTGAGGGGGAAGGTCAAGAAGAGGGGGGAGATGTAGTGAAGACTGGCTAGGCTAAGGCACAGCACCAGCAAAGGCATGGATATTGTGAAAATTCATAAAGGAGGCCTCAACGAAAATTGGAGTCTGAAAAGGCCTTTTGGGGGAACTCTCACACCCTACCACTCATCACTGGTTGCCCCAAACAGGAAGAGACATGCCTTGAGCCATCTCCAACAGGAAGATGTTTTCTACTCTACTACCCCAGCAGGAAGAGGAAGCTTTTTTCTTTCCCCAGCAATGGCCCAGCCCATGAGACATTGTCTACAACCCAGCCAATGAAAAGCCACTACACTTTGAACCCCCAGTTTCCTCCAGTGGACTCTTTGTTTCTAACAGCTCCTCCCAACTTCCCTTTTCCTCTGTAAAAGAATATGCCTCTCCTTTGTTCTCCAGACTTGCCTATAGTTTTGTCCTAACTCGTATGTCTCAAATTGCAATTCTCTGCTATTCCTCAGTTAACCCATTTTTGCTGATAGAATGTTTTATTTTTATTGTCAATAATATGTATACATGAGGTTTTGCCAGAGAAATAGAACCAATAGGATATATAGAGATGTGTGAGATTTATTATGGGAATTGGCTCATGCAATTATGGAGGCTGGGAAGTCCCACAGTATGCCATCTGCAAGCTGGAGAACTAGGAAAACCAGTGGTATGATTCAATCCCAATGAAGAGGCCTGAGAACCAGGATCTCAATGTGGGAGGACGGGAGAGATGGATGTCCCAACTCAAGAAAAACGGGAGAATTTGCCCTTTATCTATTTGTTTTATTTGGATCCACAGTGGATTGGATTGGATGATACCCAACCACATTAATGAGGGAGGGTCTTCTTTATTTAGTCTACTAATTCAAATGCTAAACTCTTCCAGAAACAAGCTCACAGACACACCCAGAAATAATATTTTTACCAGCTATCCGGTCATCCCTTAACCCAGTAAAATTAACCATCACAGTAATAATAATGCAATGTGTGTGTATAATTTTATTTTACTGTCTTCTGTGGTCTTACAGAGGCTGAAGAAAAAAACCACGCCTTAAAATTTTTGATCAGGTATGTAAGAAGAAAAGTACTAAGTTGAAAGCTTCTTCCTGGTTTTGTATTTAATTTGATTCTGTTTTGAATCCAGAACCAACGCGTATGGCCCGTCTTCTGTTTAGCAGGGCCATTTAATATGGTTTTTGGATACGCAATAGTAGGCCTGGAGCCTGCTTCACACTTAGGGGTAAGGCTGCCGATTGCCCAGCGTAATGAAGAGAAAATTTTCACTGTGCAAAGAAAGCTGGGCAAGAGGGAGGAAAGAAGCAGGCAGCCCACAGTCCAACAATATGGCAGAAGGCCAACTCTGAGCCAACAGAGATGTCTGGGAGTTTCACTGTGGTGGGTTGAGCTACATTTTTAAAAAACAATGATAACTAAAGTTCAGTTTGAAATTGTGTTATCATTGCTATCTTGAGTTGTTTTAAAGGTTGCCTCCCACACCTTGAGTAACAAGGGAGCAATGTGGGTTGTGGAGAAATTACAGTAGGGGTCAGGAAAAGGACAGCTGCCTTGCTCACGTCATCCCTCTGAGGGTGCTATGGTTGGCAGCATTAAATCAAAGGAGGCTATTAGTTGTGGCTTACAGGTACTAATGTGGGGGAAAGAGGGCAGAATCTCAGGGCTGAGCTGAAATCGATGGGTGGGAGGCAGGTGATATTGGAGAAAGAGAAGTTGCAGCATGAACTGACCCAGGGACAGACAGGAAGCAAATTTGCTGTTCCCCAAATATTTTAGTGGGAAGAGATATTTGAAAGGGGAGAAATACAGTTGAGGTGCGTTTCTGTGTCGGGGGGATGTGATCAGATCAGGTATGGCTTTGTAAGCAGGGCAAGATGATGAGTCTTGATGAGACAGATAACAGATTCGACAGGTTTTTTTTAATATATCCTGACCAGAAACAGGTGCATGCAGTCATGAAAGGGCAGTGAAAAATGCAATGGACCAGTGACTGCGAGGGTCTGTGCCTGGATTTCCTCTGCCTTTTCTAGGTCTTCGCTCTTCTCTCCTGCATTCACTTCCTTTCTTTATGGATGCCTCCCATCAGATGACAAATATCCTCTGGGGTGATAGGCAGCCTCCAAAATGGCCTCCAGTTAGCCCTGTCTCCTGGTAGTCACACCCTTGTTTAGTCCCCTTCTCTTTAGTGTTGGCTGGATTTAGTGCCACACTTAGCAAATAGAGTGATGGAGGCGATGGCCTATTACTTCCATTGTTAGGTTATAAAAAGATTGTGACTCCTGTCTTGACCGTGCTGTCTTGCTCTGAGGGAAGCTGGCTCTCATGTTGTAAGCTCCCTGTGGCCCTGTGACCTCCAGCAGTAGCCAGGGAGGAACTGAAGTCCTCATTCTAACAGCCATGAAGCCCCAAATCATATACCACATGAGTGAGCTGGGAAGCATGTCTTCCCCTGGTCAAGCCTTCTGATGAGACCACAGTTCTGGCTAACATCCTAACGGCAACCTCATGAGACCTTAAGCCAGAGGGATCCTACTAAGTCACACTCAAGAGTCCTGATCCACAGAAACGGTGCGATAACACTTTTTTTTTCTTCTCAGTCTAATTTATTTTTAATTCCCAATGTTACATATTAATATATTCTTGTAAAAATTCAAACATGCAGATAAAACTAAAGCGTTGATTGCCATCCCCAACCCCAAACCCTCCAGAGTTAACATCATCATCAGTTTGATGTTAGCATAGTTACTGTGTATCATAATTACATAGTTAAGCCAGTACATTAGTTTTCTATTGCTGCAAAACAAATTATCTTAAATTTAGCAGCCTGAAATAACACACATTAATTATCTCATATTTCTGATGAGTCAGGAGTCCAGGCATGGGTGAACTGGGTCTCAGCTTAGGGTCTCAGCAGGCTGAAATCAAGGTATTGGTTGGGGCTGTTATTTCATCTGAGGTTCTGTGTCGTTTCCCAAGCTCAGTGGTTGTTGGCAGAATTCAGTTCCTTGCAGTTGTAGGACTAAGGTCCCTGCTTTCTTGCTGGCTGTCAACCAGGAGCCTTTCTCAGTTCCTAGAGCCTACTTGCCCCACTTTTTTGTTGTTTTAAGCCACTAAGTTTTGGAATAATTTGTCATGCAGCAACAGGTAATATATCTTGTTTCTCCTACCATGGAAAGAGGATGGGGCCTGGGGTTGGCTGGGGGCATGAAGGGGGGCAGGGGTGATGGGGTCTGGAGTTGGAGGAGGTTTTCTTCTTCCTAGTTGTCCCCTGCTCCACTTGGGGCATGGCTGAATTAGTGCTGGAAATCTTTTTAATAAAAATATTATGTAGACTTCAAGTCATAACAACAGTATAAACACCCATGTACCTACAGCTGCATTCACTGTTTTTGTTTTCTTAAATATTTAATCCATATAAAATATTTATAATACATTATATGTACAGTCAAAAATAATATGCAAGAATATCCCTTTAAGAGAAAGAACATTGTTTCTTTTGAAATTGCCTATGTACCCTCCCTGATTCTATCCCTTTCTTTCTCTTTCTCTTAGAACTAACCAATATTCTGAATTTTGTATTTATTATTCCACTGATTATAAGCCTGGCTGTACTAAATGGTAGCTACTAGGCACAGGTCACAATTTAAGTTTAAATTTAAATAAAATAATTCAGTTCTTCAGTTATGTTAGATGCTCAATAGCCACATGTGGCTAGTGGTTATCATACTGGACAACAAAGTTATAGAATATTTGCATCATTGCAGAGAGTTCTATTGGATAGCGCTGCTGTAAACAATATATTGTTTAGTGTTGCATGTTTTTGAACTTCATATAAATTGAATCATACAATGATCTTTGCAACTGGCTGTGTTTCATTCAGTATTAGGTTCTTGACATTCGTTCATGTAGTTACCTATAACTGTAGTTCTT